ATCTTTCACAGACGTCTCCGCGACGTACCTGTGCTATCTGGGATCTACCCCAACCCTAAACCTACCCTTACAGTAATGCAAATACATTAAATATTGTTATTCAGCGTGAGAAAAAGGACGCGATATTGATGTGCGCATGCGCAGTAAACCCTGGTAGGACAATCTGAAGGGTAGAATAAAATGTCAGGACACCGGCCGCGCTACCGAAGCGCCATCTAGTGGCTGTTACCCAAAAAGCAGTCTTCTATTCTATACTCTTTGCCTGGGATCAGAAGGTTGAGTGTTGAGTGTCACTTCCTGTAAGTGCAGAGAGAGGCAGTGCTGAGTCAAAGATACACAAACACAGACACATTACAGCAAAATAGCGACAGGGAAGAGAGAGGCAGATGATCTGAGCTTCAGCTGCTTGTCTGATTTTCAAACACTGATCATGAATTTATTGAGAGGATCCGACTGAATCTGTCGCTTGTGTGTGTAAAGGAGTCAAATCGAAACTTTTTTTCCCGTGGCGCACGGATTTCTCGCCCTATTAATCAGACCGATACACTTCAAATCATCATTACAGAAGATATTTGAGATACTATTATGAAGGTAAAATGACGTCAAAAATATTTGCATACGCAGGGTAAGAGTTGTGGAAGTGTACATAAGACTGTAAGCGTAAATTAAATTTGCATGCGTAAGAGAAGCTTTGTAAAGGTGTAAATCGTGATGCAAATTTAATTTACGCTTACAGTCTTATGTACACTTCCACAACTCTTACCCTGCGTATGCAAATCTTTTTGACGTTATTCTACCTTCATATACTATTATTATTTACTGTGTATCTGAGAAGAGAGACGCTTTTGAACATGGGTTGTTTGGGCAACAGCAAGACAGGGGATCAGCGCATCGACGAGAAGGCGCAACGAGAGGCGAATAAAAAGATCGAGAAACAGTTACAGAAAGAGAGACAGGCGTACAAAGCCACACACCGCCTGCTCTTATTAGGTAAGACAGGAATGTATAACCGATACATTATCAGATAGATGTGTCCGCAAACTTCGAGCAGAGATAGCTATATAGATATATCGTCATCATCATCATCATCATCATCATGGATGGATTGATAATTTCTCCATGGCTCTGGAAATACTCATATTTTAGCTACGTACTATCTTATGTCTTTTTTCTATGCTTTTTAAGGCGCTGGGGAATCCGGGAAGAGCACTATAGTTAAACAGATGCGGATCCTGCACGTCAACGGCTTTAACGCAGAGTGAGTGTGTGTTTATTTAGCGTTAGTATTTACTGACACTGGGCCTGCACTGTGTTTATTATAACGGATGCGGTATTTATGTTTTGGATGTTAGAATATTGACGGGCTTCAGATCTGCGTCCGGTGCGTTTCAATGGGCTGTCGCTAAACCTAGTGAGCTGTATTTTTGGTTATCAAAGGCGTGTGTACCATTTTGGGTCTCATTTTTGGTCATCATAGACGCTTTCGAGTCTCAAATTTGACCGACCACTTATATAACATTTTGGGCTATAGGTGTGTGCAGTATTTTCAGCATCATTTCTGAACTGCGTACCCACACATCCTCTCTGTCTTAGGATCCTCTCAATTGACACATACCGTATAGTCTCGTTTTTGTGTTGTGTACCTAGACAGTATATTTAGGCCTTATCTCATGGCATAAAACCGTTAATAATAATAGATAATAACTGAATTGATTATGTATCAGAGTGATATGCTGTTATTTCCATGTTCACTAGCAGGATGGCCAAAAATGAGGTCACACTGTGTGCAATATGTGCTGTTTAGGCATGTGACTGCTTATAATCACAACTTGCCAACTGATAAGGCCCAACTTTGAGTAATATTAGGCTATAGTCACATTAGTAAATTATGGAGAATCATTTTGACACTCCTAATTTTGAGATGTCATTCATTATTTAATGACAGTTGTTCCCTCTTATTTTCCTCCTCCTCTGTGCAGAGAAAAGAAGCAGAAAATATTGGATATCCGGAAAAATGTGAAGGATGCCATTGTGGTAAGTCATTTTTGTAAATAACAATTATTTTATCTCTAGTAGTTGTGTTTTCTGATTAGTGCCCACATTCAGCATGCTTTAACACCTCTGTTCTCTGTATCAGACTATAGTATCTGCTATGAGCACCTTAACGCCCCCTGTGTCAATTGCCAACCCGTCCAATCAACCTAGAGCTGAGTACATCAAAAGTATAGCTCCACTCTCAGATTTTGACTACACAGAGGTAAGACACCACATCTCAATCTGTTACAGCACTAAGCGGAGTAGCTAAAAGGGAAATTGATGTCACATACTTGATCATAGAAATGTTGGTTCTTGAGTTGATTAGACAGTAGTTCTGTGTAAGTGTGTCATCATGGTTGAAGTGGTGCACAAATTCCCTTTTAAATCCTGTCAATAATACAGACACATACTTCATAATGTATTCCCTGCAATAGATTCTTACACGTGCTTTGATGTAGATGTCAGTCAATGTCATAACTTTTGTGGGTTGTTTGTTTTGGTATTAGGAAAGATCACATTAACTAGGGCAGATTAATTCAATGTTTATGTTAAATGTAACTTATTTTTTAGTTACATGAATTACAATGGTTTCATTTTATTCTGTTTGACTTTTTAACACTAGTCACAATATGTACACACATTCTGTTTATTATTATTATTATGCAAGCAAAGACTGTGACCGTATTACATGTGCGAAATACAAACAAAAACAGGACAGACAAGAATAAATACTACTGGCCAACATAAATCCATTTTGATAACTCTTTTGTGTATTCTCATTTTTATTGATAAATGATAGAGAAAAAGCTTCTTAATTACTTTCATTAAAAAGCTTCTTAATTACTGTAATTGAAATATTGAAATATCTGAAGTTGTTTGCAGTCATTAACCATGTCCATGTCATGCTCATTCATGTACTTAGCAATAAACAAATGTGCAATGGCCAAGGCCATTTCTTTTAATGCTTGTAAAGTATGAATCTCCTCCTAACTCTGTTAGGACTAAGAGTGTTTTTTCAATAGCTTAATAACCTTAACAACTGTCCATTTGAAAGACCATGTAAACAATTGATCAGCTTTAGTAGATACTATATGTACAGTGGAATAAGGTATTTAAGTAACACATGAATTAGAGAGTTAATTTATCCAAAAATTAAAATTTGTCATCATGTACTTAGTCCTATGTTGTTCCAAATCTAAAAAAAACTTTTGTTCATCTTTGGAGTACAAGTGAAGATATTTTTTAACATTCTCTCATTCTCTCTTTTTGTTCATCCATTGAAAGTACACAGAGCCGAATATTTCACATATTAAAATGTACAAAAATACATCTACATGAAGGGAGAAGTTTAATCTAGTGAGGTTTGTTTTTGTGAGTCAAGCCAGCATGGTTGATTCTCCAGAAGACTTTTAGTAAATCTGTACATAGATATGGCTAAAGGGTGTTGTTAAGCTCAAAACGCAGAGTCTTCATTCACAAAATAGTATAGCCTCAGGTGTCTACTAGTTTTTCTAAAATGGTTATTACATGATTAAAAAGTATTACGACATACATTTTTGGCATTTCACACAGCATGGAATATAAAAGGTCCTTTTGGAGGACCTTAATGCATTAAAAGTGAACACATATTTTGGAAGGACATCTCTAACATTACCACATTTCCATTAACATTACAGTGTTGCCCAAATAAAACATTGTTCATTTAATTCAGAGCAGTTAAATATTTATATGAACAGTACTGCTTTGAACTACACTGTAATGATCTACAGGGAGATGTTTGTGTCAACATTAAACCACGTGACAAATCCTTACATTTTGTTTGTGGTTTGTTTAGGATTGGAGTCTACCTGTCTCCATGACCTCACAACTGCCTCAGGTCAAATACAATAAGACCATTGCTCTGAACAGTTTTCATATTTGTCTCATGAACCTCAAAGCAAATATGTTGTCTTATTTGCAAATGTTTTCAGTAACTTTAGCATTATTTTAGTGTCTTTCACCTACAGTTATCCACAAAGTAATGTCAGACACCATAAGAAATAGAAAAATAAACATACCATTGTTAGGTCTGGGTGATATATCAGATATTCATAATATACATTTTGAATTTAAACATGTCTAATGTATCTTATGCATGAAAAGATCCAACTACTACCGACTGTTGTAACAAAAGTAACTTTTGGAAAGACAATACCTACATTACCATTACCTAAGAGTGAAATACAAATAGCGTGAAGACTGAAAAGTGTTCATGTGTGTGTACATGCATTACACAGTAAAATAAAACAAGCAGTTTTCTCTACCAAGAAGGGACCGAAGGGATTTATAACAGGGTGTCCGCGGGGTCTTTAAAAGTAGATAAATCAATTTAGAGAAAATTAAGGCCCTTAAAAATTATTAAAAAGTCTTAAATGCCATTTTACAAGGTATTACATTTTGTATCATCTTTTCATTATGTATATTTGTCCGAATAGTGGGGTTCTGTGTAGTTTATTTATGTAATCCCGCAAGATTTGACGTCATCTGTTACGGCGCTCACTGACTGACTGCGCCGCTGCGTGATAGCGCAGGGCTTGTTGATCCCGCTCTCGCTGAATTTCTGACCATTACCGCATGCTCCCATCCGCTCCCGCAATTCTTGTCTGCTCCCGCAAATATTCTAATATTGTATATAATTTTCGTGCATCAGGGCGCCGCTATCAGTATGTGGGGTATTTAAATCCCTTTTGAATGAGCGCTCGCAGTCGCAGTTCACTTTCACTTTTGATTTTGCGCGCTGCGCGCACTGTGTAAAGGGAGCACATCTTATGATAAAATATATTTGTCATTGACCTCGGGATCTGTTGAGGAGCAAATCCTCCACCATCTTCTCAGTTATCTCTCCTTACTTTTGACCCGTGATCAGTCAAATCTGACTTCTGCAGCTCGTGTTGTATGCAGGGTTGTTGTTGTTGTTTTTTTTCCACGAAATTGGGCTGCTTTTAAACTGTTGCCATGGGTCAGAACAAATTCAGCTTGATAATGTTAGATAACTTTGATAGAAATGTATGTAGCCTAATGGATTACAATTAACCAAAAATTAGACAGCTGTTAGTGTGACAGTACATACAGGCGTTAATACTGAATGTTTAACATTATATTCATTGCATACATATACTTTCATTGTCTGAATATGGCACTTATCACATGCTGTGTGGTACTGGCGTTTGGTATCGGGGCATTTTAACGAGTACGAGT